AAAAAAAAAAATGCCACTGATGCATAGATATTCATTATTTTTTATCATAAATGATAAATGTACAGTCCACATTCCAGATACCTGACAATATTTATGATCAATAGTAAGAATGTGAATTACAAATATTTAAGTGATTTATGCAATTAATACAATCACATCATTAGGTATCGCTAGGTATTTATCATTTAACTTTCACTCAAGCAGGAGATACTGTATTAAATTATCTCCACTATTTATAATATCATAATATTCAATAATGCTTTATTAAATAAGTTTTAAATTCTTCACTAATTTAATGTATTTCAATCATTACTATGTCTTGTCAGAAATCAACATTTTAAGAAAAGATAATTAATATTAATATGAATCTAAACTCTAAAGCAGCAGTTCTTAAACTTTTTTTCCTGTGGAACTCTTTTTTGAACCAAATATAGCCACAGTGACCTGCTGTGAATATCATGAAAAATAGGACAAAAAAATACTCATTAATAACAAATAAAAAAAAAAAAATCTAAACATGGTAAATTATGTATTATGAGCTAAAGACTGCGGTGCCGTTAGAAAGTGTTGCGGTACACCAAGGGCACAGTTTGGAAACCGCTGCACTAGAGCATTGTATTTTCATACAAAATACTAGAACAAATATTTGTATTAAGTATTAACATAGTACAAGTCATGAAGTTAATAGGGGTTTCTACAGTGCAGGATATTTCATTTTTTCAATATTCTGAAAATAAAATTATACGATTATAAGGATTAAAAACTGAACTAGTTTAAATGTTAACGTTTATTAATAAACTTAATTAATATAAAAATGAATACATCAAAATTAGGCGGACATTTCATTATAATTTACTTAAAAATTAATTTGAGTATTTAGAGTGTTACACAAGGCAATATCATAGTTTACAATACACTACCCGAAAGTATAGTTAAATATAAAATAAAAAGCACATAAGAATATTATAGTAAAATCAAACATTATTAACAATTACTGAACCACCATGGTCAGCTTTTTTTTCAACGCCTTGACTTTCAACCTCTTCTGACATTGGTGTAACTCCGCCCCTAACTTGTATGTTATGCTTATTTTTAAAATCATTGATTTCAATACCTTTTTTAGTTAATTGTTCATTCAATGTTTTCACAATTTTACCCATCTAAAACATATTATTACAATGAGTTATCATAAAAATTAATTATTTATCACAAGTTTAAATAAAATTAACAAATTATTGCCTAATTCAGTTAATTACCTACCATATAAATGTATCTTAAAGTCAATGATAATTTTAATTAATAAACATTCTACAAGCACTAGACCAAAAACATAAACAAATATTTTTTTCTTTAAAAATTAAGAAAATGCAATAGTTAAAAAAATTACTTTCATCTAACATTAAATTTTCTAATGCGATTATTAGTAATCACATTATTGGTAGTTTACTACATAAGCAACTAATTTAAGTACAAAACAATATCGTGTATAATCATTTATCAGGTTAAAAATCAAAAGGCAACCAAGCAACAAGGTTCAGTGTTTACATCGAGAAATTTATCAAAATTTTTATATTTTTGGATTGTGATCCATTAAGTAAACTTATAGTCAAAGATTAAAATTAATTTTATTTGGATTAAATAAATTATTTTTAAAGATATTAGATAATTATGATAAAATACATGGGTACTGATCCTCCTCTTACAAGTGTTTTTATTTGTCAAGAAATTGCAGGACCACCAAATAGATTATTTTATTTATAATAGGTTCAAAATAATAATAACTGTAAAATTAAAACTAGAATTTAATGAAAGTTTATAAAACTAACTTCTCCTCTATTTTTAATTAGTGTAGGTAGTACATCACAAATCTTCCTTTCAACTAACACTCCGCCAATCAGTCTAAAACATTTTCTTTCGTCATCCAACTTGTTTAGAGTGTCAATAACAATGCTGTAACAAAATTAGGAGATAATAAAATTTATAACTAATGCATAAAATGTATTTGTACTAGGATAAATTTACAAACCTATGTTCATTGAGATCAAGCTCAATTTCTGATAACTTTGTTGCAAGTTGTCTTTGTTCCGTTCGTAAGGCATTAAAAGTGTTTTGAATCAATTCCTCTTCTGTAGGTTTTTTAACTTTGACTAGTTTTTCCATTTTGAAAGGTTTATATATAAAACTATTATTTTCTTTAATATAAAATAATCGTACAAATTGTAAATCATTCACAGCTTCTTGAGTGCCTTCAACTATAATAGGATACACATTACACAATAATAAGAGAGTAATGCTGAAACACAGATACAGAACCACACATGAACAGAAGTGGGTACAACAAAAATTTACCTAACCAAAAGCTTATCAATTGTTTGTAGGTTATGCAGCRACCAGAATGTTACCGCTTGAGACCACTACACAGGTATTATTATCTCACCATTGCCGGATGATAATAGTTTCATACTATCATATTATAGCCTATGGAAACTTCGAATTTTAAAAACTTGATGTCTTGAGGCTACTATCTACTATCCATATTCTAAGACCGGCGTGGTCTTGACTTCTTGAGTTCTTGACTGAGTTACTGTTGATTACTTGATTAGTCGTCTAGTCGATCCGTGTTTAAGTCGTTATGTAGTATTGTAGTAGTTGACGGTTATAAATCTTAGGTTTTAAGTTTTAGCTGTTGATTATTGGCCGTTGCCTTTTTCCATTCAGTATTCACGAAATCTTTATACATTCTTAAAAATCAGTTACAATTTAAATAGTTTCCAAATTCTTGAGATATATTCACGCATGCGTCAAACTTAAATCATGTCTGATAGTCAATATACTCAAATTTTTAACAGAAATTCTGTGAGTAGTTTAAATGTCTTAAGCTTTTAATAGTGATTGCAATTTATATTTTTGTGATTTTTAAAGGTCAACGATGTTGATGATTCAGACCTCATTAATAGTTATGACAAACAATATGAAAAGGTGAAAAAGAAGGCCAAGGCAAAACTACCACCTATTGATTCAATGTCTGATCTGTGTTTAAACGATGAAGTAATAATCCTTATTTCAATTWATACCATATATATGTGATATATATTTCTATCTCCAAGTTTCTTAGTTAATTTATAAAATAAATGGTTAAGTATATTATTCCATCTACCGAGGGAACGCAACTGGACAGTGACCAAAACTAATTTATTGCCACACATTTCCACAAAGTTGGTCGCCTTGTGATTAGAGAATTTGATCACGAAATGGTGGTACTGGTTCATTTAGATCTGTGAGCGAGTTAAATTCTTTCGGTAGACAGATTATAGTTACTTAATATTTTATTGATTTAAGTATTATATATCATTTTGATTTTCCAATCTTATAAGATATTAAATTTTATGTACATTTTAATTCTATTATTTTTAATATTTGAGTGCATTTATTTATCAAATTATTATGAATAAATCATCATTAATTTACTATCAAATTTAAAATTAAGAATATTATCTAGAACCGGGTCTAGAACCTTAAAAATTTTATTTTTATAATTAATTTTAAAGCAAGTTTTGTATGTAAAATAAAAAAATTAAAAATAAATAAATTTTAAATTTTCCATAACTTGCTGGACCTAAAATAAAAATATCAAAACGATAAATGTGAAGCCCTGATAATATTCTTACCATCGAATTATATAATAGATACATTCGCTCAAATATTWAAAGTATCAAAATTAAATGGATTATTCTGATCAAAGATAACACATATATTTAAATATATTTAATTACATATAAGTACTTACATTTTTCCAACTGTAAAATCCAAATTTGTATGCTTTATTTACACTTATACGAGTTATACCTAGAAGTTTTCACTTATTTATTTTGTTGGGTTACACACAGTGGCGCGGAAGTCCTAAAAATCTAGTAGGGCGAAAAATATATCATGAGGCCCAACATCTTAATATCGGCAAAAATGGCATTCCATGAAGAGGAAAATTATCAATATAAAGCGGCCCTATCCTAAATTTTCAAAATATGTCGTGCCAAGGCCCGACCTTAATATAGAGTTCGGCGCCACTGGTTACACAACAATAACATGTAAATCTAAATGATGAACCTAAATATTTAATAGTTAAATAAAGAACAAATTTAAATCACTAATAGTAATATTCGAGTTGTAAMTTTGTCATTATATTTTAATTTAAAACTATAATGATATACAATGTGTTCARAATATGAGATACCACTTAATATTTCAGCTGGATGACCTTATAGTTTTATATTGAAATGGAATTTTTGAGATATGATTGGAAGTACCTAAATACACATTTTGAAACAAATTTAAAATTTGTAGCTCTCGGTAACCACAAATACAGCTTATTTTTTCAACAGTAAATACAATTTTATAAAATATTTTTTTTTTATAATTATAAAATTAAGTTACAGTATGTTTAAATTTAATATTTATGAATAATTTGCTTTAAGAACTTAGCAAACGGAAAATTGTTTCAACCAAAATGTACCAATCTAATATTTTGTTTCTCAACTACTCAACACCCGTATGTTTTGTTTTTTTATTCACAAAAATTTTAATTATAGGTATGTCTTTTGATTATTCAAAAATTAAATTAAATATTTTAAAATGTGGCCCTATMGATTTCAGGTAAACATATAAATTAGTTTTTAGAAGTTTTATCGCATTATCAGTTGCATTGGCAGGKTTGTCAAAAATCACAAACTGAAAATTAAAAATATCTGCAATACTTYGATTACAAAATTAACTTAGTTAAAATTTTTCTTAAAAGCAGATTATTCGTAAACATAATTTGATCATATTGTAATTTTGTAATTTAAAAAAAAACTTATTGTACTAGAATCTGTCTAAAATCACTACTAGAACCTGTAGAAAAATATTGGAGTTGCCATAAAAAAGTAAGTTGTATTACACATGTGTGTGTCGAAAGTAACAGATTTTAAATTTGTTTGAAAATGTATATTTAGGTATTCTATCATTTCCCAAAGATCCCATTTCAATCTAAGACCATTCAACTGAAAAATTAAGTGATACTTCATATTGTACAAAAATTTACAAGGACTGGGTATTTGATTATCTTTATAAAAATTTAATACTAAGTTAAACTATCAAATGTATACTAATAATGGTTAATATTTCACATAATTACATAACAATATGTTGATGCTCATTTTAGGAAATCAGTGAATCTATTGTGAAAAACAAATCAAAGAAAAAGGTAAGTTCAATATTATATTAAATATTATAATATCGTTATTGACACAAAAAACCTACTGTGTGCCAAATTCATGATTTTAGTATCCTTAGATTAAGAATAAAATAAGCTATTTATTTATAAAATCTATTATGTGCTATCTGCATTGTAGAATAAATGAAAAATAACAAATAATTTCTCCTATATGTTACCTACAATTAATTACCTATGAAGTATCTCCCATGTGCTATCTCTATCATAGATATTTTGTCCTATGTGTTTCGATCGTTTGTGAAATAACTCCTATGTGATTTTATTATATAAAAGCCGATTTTTTTTTTTTACACAGAGGTGTTTTTGTATCAACTACAATAGTCAAATGCTTAACACACATAATAAATATTGCAAACAACAATTATAAATACAATATTTTTAAAGAGATTACAATTAAGAGAACGCTACACCCACATGTTTTATTTCTGTCTTATAAATGTAAAACATCGCTAGAACTTTTTTACGCGGGAAAGAACTACTCAAGCTGTAATCCAAGCTATGCAACCAAATTTTCACACTATAAAGAGGAGAATATTTAATGAGCAATGTTGTTTTTAATTTTTCGATATTACGGATACAAAAAAAAGTTCTTATTGTTTGAGAATTCATTAATTTAACTTGAATAACTTTTTTTTAATTCCAATATAAAACAAAACATTAAAACAACATGCACTGTAAATATTCTCTTTATAGTGTGAAAATTTATTTGTTTAACTTGCATTACAGTTTGAGTGGTTCTTTCTCGCGCTTAACAATTTTCATAATGTTTTACATTTGTAAGACAGAAACAACATATGAGGGTATAGCGTCCACTTAAAATTAAAATAAGGAAGAGGTAATTATAATTATATTGGGAACTATTGTCATAATCACATTTGGATTTGAAGTTTTTTGAGACATATAACTGCCTTTGCATTTAAGTTATATTTTATGAATGTTTTATAGACTTCCTTGGGATGAGTGTAAACCAGTGTTTCCCAAACATTTTATCTTTACCGCCCACTTCCAAAAAAAATCCGACAAATGTCCCCTTAAAAAAAAATTTGTTACAAAAGTATGCAATGAAAAAATGAAATTTATTGTTTATAAATATATATTATGTATAAGTGAAATATAAAGTATAAATAGTATGAAGTATAAATGAAAAAAAAATATCTTAATGAGATGGATGTGGTT